GGAATTTGCCATTTCTCTAAAGAACCCTAATTACTTTGGGATGGGAATGATATTTGGACACCAAGATCTGGGTGCTAGGCATACTCATTGCTCCTGGATGCCATTGCTTCTAGGTCCTTTCCAAGATTTGAAGAACTATGAAACACAGCATTTTTTTTTAAATAAATAAATTGCTTTTAAATTTAATGGGATTGGAAAAGACCTAAAAGGCAAAATAATCTTGAACAAGGAAAATATACACTGTAAATCAAGACTTACAATAAAGTCTTTAGTAGGCAAGACAGAGAGATAATAGTTTAAGGTTAAACAACCAGACTAATGGAACAGAACAGGGTGTCCAGAAATAGACACTTACATAGGTTTAATTCATAATTGACCAAGGTACTAAGTTAATACAATAGGGGCAAGTCTTTTTATAAATATTGCAGGAACAACTACATATATGTATGAAAAAGAATAAACCATGATGCATGCATGTATTTTTAAATCATGAATTCAAATTGATATTTCTAGGTAAAATTTAACTTTACAGTTTTTACTTAATTGTTTGATGTTGATATTTGTGTGTCTCTTTTCTCATATGCTGACAATCTTAGTCCTAGGTAACAGTTAATATTTCTTTGCAGATCCTTTCATGCACTTAGCATATATCCGTCTAGGAAGGTACAATCAGAATACTATCTTTAAAAGTTACTTGAAATAATTATTTTGTCTATATAGTTATGTTACCAATTATATATGTGATTGGGTTCATTTATTTATTGTTTATCTGTTTATTTCCAATGATCAGATTTTATCTTTTTATTTTAATTTTCAAATATGTAAAACATATAAATGGTTCAACAGTTAAAACTTTTTGTTTGAAATATTAACTGTTACTTTGGATTAAGATTGTCAGCATAAGATTTACAGTGTATATTTTCCTTGTTCAAGATTATTTTGCCTTTTAGGTCTTTTCCAATCCCATTAAATTTAAAAGCAATTTATTTATTTAAAAAAAAATGCTGTGTTTCATAGTTCTTCAAATCTTGGAAAGGACCTAGAAGCAATGGCATCCAGAAGCAATGAGGTATACAGAGGTAAAAAGGTGTGCTTGGAGAAGACCCTTTGCCAACTCTTATCTGTTTCACTCCTTTCTCCATCCCACTTAGATAGGCCTTAAAGTTAGTTTTTGACTTATTATTCCAAATATTTTTTGGTGGAAAAAGCAAATAAATATGTATTTTATGTTCTGTCCATTGCTTTCATACTTAACAGTGTATCTGGAAGATTAGATCAAATGAGGAAACTTAGTACGTTTTCTCATTTTTTCTATGGTTGCATAATGCTGCATAGCATTACATTATATAGATGTATTGTATTCAACAAGCCACATTCAGATTTGGACACGTGCACCATACCCAATCAGATCCCATTAGGTAAGCACACTGGATTCTCTCCAGTATCTGGCAGTATTCATTTCTTTGGTCTGTTGCAATAAATTACCACAAATTAGGTGGGTTAAAACAATAGAAATTCATTTTCTCACAGTTCTGGGGTTCAGAAGTCTGAAATCAAGGTCTTTTCAGATTTGGGCTCCCTCTGAAAGCCCCCAAGGAAATTCTTCCTTGCTTCTCTCATCTTTTGATGGCTACAAAAGTCAGTGGGCTTGTGGCTACATGACAGCAATCTCCAGCTCTCTTTTCACATAGTTTTTCTGTATATCTTCTGTCTCTTATAAGAATATTCATTAGATTTAGGGCCTACCCAGATAATCCACAATGATTTCACCTCAAAATCCCTAATTTAATTATACCCACAATGATGCTTTTCCAAAACTCACAGTCACAGGTTTTAGGGATTAGGACACTGACATACCTATTCAACCCACGACACTGGCTATTATAAACAGTGCTGGAAGGAATAACCTCCTACATGTGGTTTATATTTGTGGAGTTATGTCTTCACAATAGATTCTGACAAGATTTCTGTGTCAAAGGGCAAATAACATGTACTTTTGCTAAATTCTCCTCCATAAAAGTTGTACTATTTTATACTCCTATTAGCTATGTTTTTCTATAGCTTTGCTTCCATAGTTTGTTGTCAAAACTTGTTTTTTCCTCTAATCCAAATAGTATTTCAGGGTGGTTTTCATTTGCATCACACATTTTTAAATCTTGATTTCATTATCTTTATTTATTGATGAAAGTAGGACATTTTTCAACAGCACCTGTCTGCAAATTACTTGACACCCTGGAACTCCAGTGATAAAAAATTAATTATGGAGCAAGTGATGCCCCCAAGGAGTTCACAGTACAGCAAGAATGATTTTGGAGAGCAATTATTTTTATTTATTTTAATTTCATACATGTGGGTGAAAAAAGCAACAAAATAATAATTTGTTTCTTAAAATTTTAGAGAAGACCTGGAGTTCTACATTTTCATTAGTAACTAGAGGCTAGATAGGATGGAAGTGGTGAATGCGTATGCACAAATGTCCGTTTCTGGTACCACCAAGTTTTTTCTTTCTTTTTTTTTCAATTATAGTTTATGTTCAATATTACTTTGTATTAGTTTCAGGTGTACAGCATAGTGGTTGGTCAGTTCTATCCTTTGCAAAGTGTTTCCCCGATATTTCCAGTATTGGTACTTTCATAGAGATTGCATTTACTCTGTAAATTGCTTTGGGTAGTACAGATATTTTAATGATGTTAATTCTTCTTATCCATGAGCACTGTATATGTGTATGCTTCCATTTATTTGTATCTTTTTCAGTTTCTTTCTTTACTGTCTTATAGTTTTCTGACTACAGGTCTCTTACCTCTGTGGTTAAGTTTATTTCTAGGTATTTTATTCTTTTTGATGCAATTGTAAATGAGATTTTTTAAAAAAATGTTTCTAATATTTCATTATTGGTGTATAAAGATGCAACTGATTTCTGAATTTAAAAAAACCACCTGGCACCATAGTTATTACAGTATTATTCACTATATTTCCTATGACTAGTTTGTAACTACCAATCTGTACTTCTCAATCCCTTCACCTTTTTCACTCAGTCTCCCAACCCTCCTCCCCTCTGGCAACCATCAGTCTATTCTCTGTATTTATAAGTCTGTTTCTACTTCTTTTGTTCATTTATATTCTCCTCTAGATTCCCCATATAAATGAAATCATATGCAGTACTACCAAGTTTTGACAGTGTCACATGTTCACTTTACACTGTCATTTACCTAGTTATTTACGTACGTATTCTACCTCTCAACTACATGGTATGCTTTGGAGGTCAGGAGGCTGCATCTTTTTATCCCCAAGGTTTAGCTCATGCCTTATACATAGCAGGTGCTCAATAAGTGTTCGACTATGATGGCAGGTTGCTTTATGATAGAAAAAATTGAATTCTCTGAGTGCCTCCTTTATTTGTTCAATCAATGTAATGAAAGGTATCATTTTAAACGAATCTGGCAAAGAATATTACGACTTACTATATGTAATTAAGTACAGGCTAACTTGCTGCAGCAAGGACTCCCAAAATGTCTTAAGACAAAAGGTTTTTTCTCTCTTGTAACAGTCTTGGGGGTTTTGTGGCCCAGATGGAGATGTCATCTAGGGACCCAAACTGGTAGAACAGCTCTGCTATCATCCTGAGTGTGGCCCTTTCACCTCTGGGTGTGAGATTCACCCATTTTACTGGGTATATTAATAGTCTATTCCTTTTCATTGCTGAATAATGGTCCTTCAGTATAAATATACTCCACTTCTAGCAATGCTATTTTGACAACTCTAAAAATAGAAGCTCTAACAATTATGAGATTTTTTTTGCATGTATGAATGAAACATGTAGCACCATTTTTTACTTTTTATTGCCTTTTATTTAATGAACTTTTATTGAATGCTTCCAGAGGCCAATTACTGTGCTCAGAGATCGACGCAAAGCTGTATAAATCCCTGGTTCGTCCTCCAAGTTACAATTTACCTGAATGAAAAGACAGTTATGTTGTACCAATCTGATGGAAACCACGTTTTTAAACAATCATCTTAAGTATGGATACGTGCTAAAATGTTATCACAATTTGGAGCATCAAAGGATTCAAATGTAGTAAGATCTCTTGTAAGACGTCTCTAGAACATCTTCCTTCTCAGTTTTACCCCGTTACAGGTGCCTGTCCTTAGAAGTATACGTGACTGAGCATCATGTCTCTCATGTTCTATTTCCGGTTCTTCTACTGGATTGCTAATAGGGCTTTGCACAACACAGAGAACGTGCACTTCCTACAAAGCAAGAAGCAAGGTCCTGTAGAACGATCTGAGTGAGGTCTCAGAAACCAAGGGGCTCTTCATGCAGAGCCTAGGCACATACTTTCCTCTTGCCAAAGCCATGCATTTTAATGTGAAATTGGAGGGGCGATTTTGGTATGGTCAAGGGATTTCCGTGGATCCCTTCCTCCTTGGTGTGATTCCAGAAGCTATTGTAGAACTTAAAATGGTTTGCATTTTAAAAGCCCTGAAATTTTTCTTACTGAGATGATTCTGAGGTTCACGTTGCACTAGAGGGAACTGCGTTGGGTACAGACCTGGGCCTCGCTCCCCCATAGCTCCATGTTCTGGAAAGGCTGTCGCAGTGCCTCGCTTCCTGCATAACTACATTTCCCAGGAGAACTTGCGGGTTAGGAAGGCAGACCGTTCTTAGAGCCGGCCCACTGACTACCATCGTGCCAAAGTTACGGCAGTCTGATTGGAGAGCTCTATCCTGGAGCATCCCGGGACTTGCAGTACAGCGAATGCGTGGGGGCAAGCTACTTTGTGACTAGGGGCGAGTACTTGGCTCTCCGTGGTGCCCCTTCGAGGAGTACGGGCCACGAGCCAGTGCACTATGCCAGGGGTGAGGCTGGCGCCTCCAGGGGGCGAGGTGGGGTCTTCAGTTCCGCGTTGACACTGCCTTCCTGGCCCTCCCCTCTCAGTGCCCGGCCTGCCCCTCCTTCCTGGAGTCACCGCTGAAGCGGCAACGGCCGCTGCAAGGAGGGGGGCAGCGAGTGGCCCACGCGATACACTCCACCCTGGACTCTTATGCGGTGACTCGCGCGGCGCAGGCGCCTCTTTGACCTCCGGAGGGGTCCGGGCTTCCCGCGGCGGGATGTTCTCGCGAAGAAGCCACGGGGATGTCAAGAAGTCCACCCAGAAGGTGTTGGACCCCAAGAAGGACGTGCTGACCCGCCTGAAACACCTGCGGGCGCTGCTGGGTGAGGCGCGGGGGGGAGATCTGGGGTCATTGGTACTGCCCGGGCTCGGGCCGGGTTGGGGTCGAAGCTGGAATGCCGAGGGCGTGGGGTGAGGGTGGTGGGGCGTCTGACCTGGTGTCTGGGTCTTGGTATTGTTCCTCGGAAAGCGGGCAACCTCGTCCTCGAGCCCTCCGGTGTAAACTTACTCCAGATTCTCACCGGGTAACCTCGAGGTAGGGCACAATCGTGACTGTCCCTTCCTCAGCAAATACTGGACCTCAAATGGTCCTCACACATACATTGAGCTGCCATCTCCATTCCCAATTTTTAAATTTTTATGAGTCCCGGACTCTAAGTATACTGAGACCCCAAGTAGCCCTGGCACAGACTTAACTGAACTGTCTTCTCTTTCGCTTCCCTTTCCCCCTTTAAATTTTATTTTTACTTTTGAGAGAGACTCCAGGTGGTCCCAGGATACATTAAATTTAATTGTAACATCTCTTCCTACCCCACACCCTTCCCTTTTTAAATTTTATTTTTATTTTGGGTCTGGCTGCTTCGGTTTCTTTGTGTCCTTGGTGTGAAGGGGACTCCTCGTGTTTGCTTGGAGCGAGGGGTGACTTTTCTGGGTTCAAAAGGCTGCTTCTCCTTTATTGCTGGGATGACAATGATGGCTATATGCCTTCCTCCGTTTTTATGAGACTACTGAGGGGAGGTTCAGCAGCGCCCAGGTGGGTCTGCAGTTGACCTGTGATGAAGGTCATCCCTGTGGGTGTGAAGTGTCCACAAGGCTTCCTATCACCTTCTACATGTGATTTGTAGCTGGTTTGCTAGGCTTCTTTTGTTTTCTATTTTCTTACTTCCTTAGTCATAACTTCTGTTTAGGATGAAGACACCTTTGCTGTCTGTAGACTTGTCTTTTGTGTATTTGGGGACTAAGAAAAGGACACCTTCTGCTTCTTTGAGATGCCATTTTTATTCTTAAAATGAACAAAAACCACCTGATTTAGAGCATAGTCTTAATATATCTGTCCCATGAGGAAATATAGCAATAAAAGAATTAATTTTATGTGTGAGAATTTTACATAAAGACCTTCATGAGATTAAAAGTTGCAAATTATTTTTATTTATACTCTTAAAAAAAAAACCCCACCCGGTTTTGCCAAGTGAAGTTCTTCAGAGTCACCATTCCTTGAGATTTCACTGTTTTGTTCAGTTTGGGATGAAATGTAAATTAGTTACTGTTAGAGGGTTTAGTTTTCAAGATCTTTGAAAGTGAAATTTGGTGTTCTTGGTAAACTGAACTTTCTACTTCCTGTAGTAAAATACCAGGCACACACAGGTTGCATTGTGCAGTTGGTTTTTTTTTTTAGTGACTGATTAACACCTACTGCAGCGATATTTTTGATAAGGAGAGTTGAACAGTATTTTAAAGCATTTGATAACTTCAGGACTTTTTCTGTGATAGAGAATTTGAACTTTTGTTCTGTACAGGTCTGCAAGATTAAGTTGGCTATTTTGTTAAGGCAAAATCAATTAAACCTAGATCAGTTTGATTTCTTATAGATACACAGTACATTGTTGCCATTCTGAGAAGGTAGCTTTCAAGGCTATGTCATTGTGGTTTCATTTTTTGTGTGTCTTATTTTGAGGAACTTTCTTTTATCATTTCATTTGAACTCGTTATGACTTAAGTTCTGTAACATGGAGAGGTTCTTTGATACTTCTTTACGTGTATGTTGTTCTTTTGTTGCATTTGTTTGTGGAATGGCTCAGTTCACTTTATTACTGTACTCTTTACCCATTGGGACTAGATTTTTGTAAATGTATCTGAGGACTTTTAGTCATGATGTTGAATGTAAACTTTAACTTTCAACTGGTTTAAAGACTTTAAGAAAAAATAGAACATTAATGCACCAGTTTCTACCACTTCACATACCCTACTTGTTGGCTACTTTAAGGAAAAGGCAACTTAGGAAAAAAGGTCTCTGAATTTAAAAGATGGGAATTAGCCAAGATCAAGAAAACTATTTGAAGGAAATGAATAGAAACTATTATTGTATTTTTATTTGTATATTTATATAATACTTTGCACATATTTTATCTTCTAGCATTAATGAAGATATCATTTTTTACATACAGAGATCATACTACTGACCAGGATTTGCAGCACAGCTACATGAATTTGGCCTAGTTACTTAGCCTATGTTTGAACATTGTTTTCTTTACTCTGTAAAATGGGTTTGGTAATGACTGCCTTGTAAAAGTTATTGTGAGTGTGATGTATTTGGTTGGCCAAAAGGTCTGTTTAGTTTTTTCTGTAAAATAAGACACATTTTTCACTTTCACCAATAATTTTTATTGATTTGGATATTTTGCCAGCCAGCTCTCTCAAATACAGACTAATTTTTATGGTGAGAACAAGTCCATAATAATTATTAAAATAAGTAAAGGTGAGGGGGAATTACCACAATCGCCATTTTTTGAGATTTCACTGTTTTTTTTCAGTTTGGAATGAAATGTAAATTAGTTACTGTTTTGTTGGCTATCTCCCATGTGATATAATGTTAATTGTTCTAATGCCTCGATTTGATCACTGTCAACTTCAGTGGTCTACATGACCATGGAGCATCATCCAGTGAGAAATCTCCATGCAAAACTTCACGAACCATTTCCCTCTGATATGTTTGATCACTCACAGCACCTTTTCCATACACTGCACAAACGTTTTTTGCGTGTCAGTTGCGTTTTTACCTTTATTGAAATAATAAAGTATAATATGCTGAAAATGTTGCATATTTTCTTCATCTTCAATATTAAAATGGCTACATAAAAATTCACCAATTTTGATTTTTTTTAAAAATGCACACTGATTGACAGCTGTCACAATACAGTCTAACAAATTGTTAAATGAAGTTAAAGACAAGTAAGTGCTATTAGAGCTATCCTACCAAAAAAAAAAACCCAAACATTTTGGCCAACCCAATATAAACTATTTCACCTTGGAGTAGGTACTTGACGATTTCTTCTCCCATTACTTATCTCCTATCATTCATAGGCTAGGAGAAGCATTTTGATAGTTAATTCCTCCTGCCACCTTTACTTATTTTCATAATTATGATGGACTTGTTCTCTCTTCATAAAAATTAATCTGTATTTAAGACATCTGGCTGACAAAACACAATTAGCTGTGAAAAGTAGAGTATTTCGTAGTATCATAGTAGTAGTAGTGAGTCCAGTTAGAACCTGCTTAGCTACTTTGATCTGGCTTTATATTGTAGATTGGGCTGATTGATTTTACATTGGGGGAAACTGAGGCATAGAAGGGCCTTACAAGGGGCCAAGCCATGTGCTAAATGGTCTATATGTAGGAAGAAGAAAGAGCCGTTATGTCCCTTACTTCCCGTTCTCCCTACACTGTCTCAATCATTATTGGGAAAGTAAATGAATAAATAAAACAAAAACAAAACAAAAAACATACTGTGTATTGCTATCTTATTCAAACAAAGATCCTGTGTCTAATTAAAAGTTGAGTGCCTACTAAGTCTCAAAACAGGGTATAGAAATGGCATTGTTGTAGCAAGAAAAGTGGGAGTAATAGTAAACAATAGTGCATTATGCAATTAGTTCGTGGCTTATATAGTAGACTCTGTTATAGGATTTCAAGGAAGCAGAAAAGATAACCGAGTAGCACAAAAATAGGGGCAGCCTGAAGTTTTAATCATGATAGGCCCTGAAGAATGATTAGACTAGCTCTATCCAATAGAAATATAATGTGAGCCACATGTGTGATTTAAATTTTGTAGTAGTCACATTTAAAAAAGTAAAAAGAAACAAGTGAAATTAACTTTACTAATATATTTTATTTGACCCCATATATCTGATATGTATTGTATCAATAGGTAACAAAATAAAATATTACTTATTATGTATTTTAAACTTAAAGCACATCTCATTTTAGACTAGCCTCATTTCAAGCACTAAGTAGCCGCGCTCAATAGCTATCTTAGTAGCTACTGAGATAGATTGGGGTAGAATTTGGGAAAGTAGAGGGGGAGGGCTGACTAAGGGATGATGGACTATACATGACAATGATATGGAAGGGGTAAGGAATGCCAGCCTGCCCCTTCCTCGTGTCCACTGCGGGAGTGGTGAGAGTAATGTTGGGCACTGAGGATAGGGTGCTAGAACCTGGCCCTGAGGGCATCCACGGTGTCAGATAAAAGACTGGAGTACTGTGTAGGCCAGGAGTAGGGGCAGGACAGTGAGCTGTACCTGGGACTTGTGAGGAGGAGAGGAGTAGGTAGCTTGACTGGGAGAAGCTGAGGCAGGCTGAGGGCCAGATCAGAAAGGATTTTGTTTGCCAGAATTAGAAGCTCAGATCTCATTCTGCAGGTGAGAGGGCCTGCTTGGAGAATTCTTAGCAGGTCAAATGATAAGTTTTGAGAACTTTATCTCTGCCAGCAGGGCCAGGAAAAATGGATTGGGGCTCATGGGAGGGGTGTGAACACAGGCAATGATAGAGCCAACAAATGATGAGGGCCTGAAATAAGAAGTTCCATGAATGGAAAGGAGGGGTGGTATATTAAAGAACCAGTGCAGTAGGAGTAATTCTCTTAATAAAATAATGAAAGCGAAGTTTGCAGAAGCTAGATGAGGAGTGATTAATCAGAAGGAAATGAGATTGGGGATCGTAGGCCACAGACAAATGCAATCAAGTGACACCAGGGTTTGGACCAAATATTTGGAACCAGAGAGGGAGGGTAGTTTCTCATAAATGCTCCATATACTGATAGAGCAAAATAGAATGTTTTGGTATATTTTCTTTTGTGCACCTGTTGCTTTATGTTCACTTACAATTTGAAATGTTGCCTTTGAAATTTATCTAATAGTAGCATTTCCCCTTGTTTTGTTCCTCTCATTTTTATTACTTACAAACATTTGTTGATACTATATACTGTAATTTAGCTTATCATTTATTAATAGGTTAAATTGTTTTCTTCCTCTCCTCTTACCACTCC